ATTAGGAAAGAGTTACTAAATTTTCCGACAAGCTTTACTACGCATTAGGGCAAATGTTACTACAAATAAGGACAAATGTTTCTACGAATTATGATAAGCCTTACTACGTATTAGGACAAGCGTTACTATGAATACGAACTGACGCTACTACGTATTAGGAAAAACGTTACTGCGTATTAGAACAAGCATTACTGCAAATAAGAGCAAACATTACTACGAATTAGGACAAACGTTAGTACGTATTAGGAAAGAGTTACTACATTTTCGGACAAGCGTTACTACGGATTAGGACAAACGTTACTATAAATAAGGACAAATGTTACTACAAATTAGGATAAGCGTCACTACGTATTATGACAAAGGTTACTACGAATAAAAAACGTTACTACATAATAGGACAAGCATTATTACGAATAAGAACAAACGTTACTACGAATTAAGGGAGGCCTTACTACGAATATAAAAATGTTACTATGAGTTAAGACAGACGTTACTACAAATAAAACAAGCTTTACTCCTAATAAGAACAAACGTTACTACGAATTAGGACAAGAATTACTAAGGATAAAGACAAGCGCTTCTACGAAAAAGGACAAACGTTACTAGAAATTAGGACACGCGTTACTACGTGTTAGGACAAGCCTTATTACCAATATGAGCAAATGTTACTACGTATAAGAACAAATGTTACTGCGTATTAGCACAAGTATTACTACGAATAAAAACCAGCATTACCAACAATAAAGACAAGACAAAACGTTACTACAAACTAGAACAAGCGTTATTACGTATTAAAACAAACGTTACTACGTATAAGAACAAATGTTATTACGAATTAGGATAAGCATTACCACGTAACAAGACAAGCACTACTACGAATAAGAACAAACATTACTACTCATTAGGACAAGTATTACTATGTATAAGGACAAACGTTACTGCGTATTAGCACAAGCCTTACTACGAATAATGACAAACATTACTACGAATTAGGACAAGCGTCACTACGTATTAATACAGACGTTACTATGTATTAGGACAAGCGTTACTACGAATTAGGACAAGCGTTACTGCGTTTTAGGACATGCGTTACTACGGATAAGAACAAACGTTACTAAGAATTACGAAAATCTTTACTGCGTATTAGGACAAGCGTTACTACGAATATGAACAAACGTTACTACGAATAGGACAAGCTTTATTACGAATTAGGACAAATATTCTTTTAGTTTTCGAGTGCTTTCTATTTTCCTCTCTTAAACCAGATCGGCCTAATTTACCAAAATGCTGTTTTTGTTCTTTCTTTTTCAATATTAGAATCAATGAATAAAAATTTCACCGATTCTGGTAAATTTTAAAGGAGAGGTTACAAAATAGTGAAAATTGATGTTTTTGAATTAGCTTAGTCCAAAACTAAACACCCCTAATAATATCTAACGACAAAGTTGTAAGAATTTTCCGTTACTTAATATGGGAAAAAAATATAGAAAAACAGCAATTAACTGTTGTCCGGTTCAAACTCGTTCTTATTTTTTGAGCAGGTTTGTTCCTTGTTTCCTATTTAGGGTTGGGTTTCTGGTTCCTTCTAGTTTTTATCTTCAATTTAACTCCGGGTAGACTCTTGTGTTTTAGTGGCGTTATTGCCTAGCTTGGGGTGAATTGATTAAAAAAAAAATCCAAAGTCGCATTGTTCTCCTATATGATAATGAATACTGGACAAATTCATCACAGATGAAAAAAAAAAAACATGAGGCAACAGAAATGCGGTTCTACAGAACAATGCTGAAAACTATAGCATGATATCTACCGTGGCATTTGCGACCTACCGTAAATGACGATGCACTCTACCAAACAGCCCACTTAAGGCCTGCAGCAATTAGTTCCGTAAACTACATACAGTGTTATTTTAAACTAAAGAGTGGGGTATTTATCTTAGTATTCATAAAGGAGGTATTTATCTTAGTATTCATAAAGGATGTATTTATCTTAGTATTCATAAAGGAGGTATTTATGTAATTCCGTTACAAAATAGACAAGCTAACGCCAGACAAAATAATTCTAGCCCATTTAGTTGTTCACACTAGCACCATGCTGGCCAGAGACATTTACAAAATAATTTTAATTGATGATGAAGCAGTGTTCTTCTTAAGAGTTAGGGTTAGGGTTAGGGATAGGGTTTTTAACATATTTCATACTTTCAACAGTTGGTAAGTATTATACCCTAGTATAAAATGAAGAGTAGATACCGTACTATAGTAGAAAATGGACGGTAGATATCATACCATAGTATCATCGCAGGATTTGTATCACTGAATCATTATTATATTATTGTCAAAAAAGAAAAAAAAAAGAAAAGAAAAAAATCTTACAATCTAAAAATATGTTCCGGCTTTAAATAACCTGCAAAGGGTTGATAAACTGTAATAAACGAATCAATTAAATCAAACGTCCTAGCACCGGTTCTCGGACGATCATCGATATTAAGCAACGTCAAGCCAAGTCAATATCTATATGGGCGACCGCTTGGGAATACAATGTGCTGTAAGCTTAGAGGTGCGGGTGGTGTAATAAATGACGGCTCGGAATAGGAAATCGGAGATCCCGCCGGGTACGTTATATTCCCTGACGCGCAAATAGCCTTACGAAAGGAAACCCCTTCTTCTTTACCCGGCTATTGGTCAATTAATATGATTTATGTCAGTAAATCATTATTTTCTCATTATTACGTTATGGTTTGAAATAACCTGCAACAAGTTGATAAGCCTTATGAAACAAACAAATCAATCAATAAAATCTTGGGGGTGGGGGCGGAGGAGCGACAAATAAATATTGCTTGTAATTAACTCTACTTTGTGACGCAAGAGAAAATGGCTTACATCCGGGTCACAAACGGATTCGGACGTGTCTCGCACGTAAAATATTCCCCAAAAGAAAATGGCGGCTTCACGAGACGTATATTTAAAACAGATAGATCGAGGAGTCGGATAGATTTTCGCGAGAATCCCTGTTAACATATGCAAATTTTAACTGACATTCTACCTATAAAAAGTGAGAAGTGCAACTATCGTGGCGAAGAGGAGGCCCGTGTTGTTGGATTGGTTGAATGAAATTCATTCCGCTACTCTGTTGGTAGGGGGAAACGGATTTCGGACATTTATTGCACGCCAGAAGAAACTAACTACATACTTAATTACTCATAGTTAATCATAATTAATTAAGCATAAAGGTATTGGCTAATTGAACGATAAAATGTAGTTAAAAAAAGAAAAAAAAATCCTTAATGATACGTTTCGTTCCGAGATGGAACTTCTTCAGATTAATAATGTTTTTATTGACGGGATTGCATTTATATATTTAGTGGGTTAACAAGGAGAAGAAATGCTGTTTGCAATTAAATTGCTATCCTCTTTTTTTTCGAAATGCAGTTTTAATAAGATAAAATGAAAAAAGAAAGTAATGTATTAAAACGAAAATATATTGAAAGTACACTAATTTCGGTATTCTCTACAATCTTGCAACATATCACCATTCATCACAAAATTACTGCTGATAAAATGTGGCTTAATTAAAAACAATTACGATAAAAAAATAACAAAAAAAAAAAAACCGGTAAGATACTAAATGAGCTCAGTTATGTTAAATATCGGCTATGTTAAACCCGGAAATAATTTTTTTATTTTATTTTAGGATTTATCAACCTTTTGTAGATTATTTGAAGCCGAAACAGTTTTGAATTCTTTTTTTTTTTTTTTTTTTTTGCAAGTGTTTTTTGAATAATTCGTTTTTTTTTTTGCATTTTTTTTTAATAATTTTTTTGCAAGTGTTTTTTGAATAATTCTTTTTTTTGCTAATGCTTTTTGAATAATTCATTTTTTTTTGCAAGTGTTTTTTGAATAATTTTTTTGCAAGTGATTTTTGAATATTTCTTTTTTTTGCAAGTTTTTTTTTAATAATTCTTTTCTTTTCTTCTAAGTGTTTTTTGAATAATTTTTTATAGCAAGTGTTTTTGAATAATTTTTTTGCAAATGTTTTTTTGAATAATTCTTTTTTTTTTGCAAACGTTTTTTGAATAATTCTTTTTTTTTTGCATGTGTTTTTGAATAATTCTTTTTTTTGCATGTGTTTTTTGTATAATTTTTTCTTTTTTTGAAAGTGTTTCTTGAATAATTCTTGCATGTGTTTTTTAACAATTTTTTTTTTTTTGCAAGCGTTTTTCGAATAATTATTTTTGCAAGTGTTTTTTGAATAATTCGTTCTTTGCAAGTGTGTTTTGAATAATTCTTTTCTTTTTTTTTCAAATAGTTCTTGAATAATTGTTTTTTTGCAAAATTTTTTGAATAATTCTTTTTTTTGCATGTTTTTTTTAATAATTTTTTTTTTTGGATGAGTTTTTTGAATAATTCTTTTTTTCGCAAGTGTTTTTTGAATAATACTTTGCTTTTTTTGAGTATTTTTTGTAAAACACATGCAAAAAAAATTATTCAAAAAATTATTCAAAAAAATTTTTTTTTTTTTTGCAAATGTTTTTGAATAATTTTTTTTCGAAAATGTTTTTGAATAATTTTTTTTACAAGTGTTTTTTAAATAATTCTTTTTTTTTATTGCAAGTGTTTTTGGATAATTTTTTTTGCAAATGTTTTTTAAATAATTCTTTTTTTTCCATGTGTCTTTTGAATAATTCTCTTTTTGCAAGGGTTTTTTGAATAATTTTTTTTTCAAGTGTTTTTTTAAATAATTCTTTTTTATTGCAAGTGTTTTTGAATAATTTTTTTTGCAAATGTTTTTGGAATAATTCTTTTTTTGCATGTGTTTTTTGAATAATTTTTTTCTTTTTTTTTTTAAGTGTTCTTTGAATAATTCTTTTTTTTTTTAGGTTGAGCTAAGCTCAACCTAAAAAAGCAAAAAGAATTCTTTCTTAAGGGTATTTGCTCGTACATGAATGTAACGAACCCGAATGGAATTTCTCATTCTGTGCCGTTATACATTACACCATCTGCACATCCAGCACCTGGTATTCTCAAGTGGTCGCCCATCAAGGTATTTACCAAGCTAGATGTTCCTTAACTTTGGCGATGAGACGAGAACCGGTGTTTCAATGTAATATGTCTGCAGCCCATCAAAAATTGAATTTAATAATGAGTAATTTGTTTCTTTACGGTTTATCAACTCGTCATGGGGCATTTAAATCCGAAAATATGTTTTGAATTGTAAGAATAACTCTGTATTTTTGTAAGTGAATACTGCATTAACAATTTTGGGAAGATAACAATGAATTTTCCAGATACAAGTTCTACTATTTAACCCACAGCTGAGGGAGAACAGATGGATTCATGCTTTTCCCAAGTGTATATGCGCGTAACTTCAGTTATATACCATGCGTGATACACACTTAGGTGATCATGTATCTTTTTGATACAGGACTGTCGGGGCAGTTTTTTTCTCGCAGTAGTTCTTTCTTCGGTAGACCTGTTGCCCTCCAAGGCTATAGAACCCGGTCTGTCCTGTTATTTACCCATAGCTGGGGTGGGGAGAAAAGAAGAGGATTCATACCTTTCCTAAGGATATTAGCCCGTTAAGTGAATGTAATGGATTCGACTGGAATTCGAACTCAGCTCTCCGATTCCTCAATCCAAGCCGTGTTTCCATCATTCGCGTAACTTAATGTAACGAAATTGCAGTGAGTTAACTGGCACACACATATATATTTTAACACGAAACTCTCATGCTGGTCAAAACACATACATTTAGCAGGAATAGGAAGAACATCCAGTGACTTGACCCAAAAGTGTTGTGAGTTCAATACCTGGTAACGGCAGAGGTGAATAAAAATAATAATAATAATAATAATAATAATAATAATAAAGGAAAAACTTGGAGAGTTGAGTGACTAAAGGGAAATAACTGAAACTGAGATATCCAGAAAAGGCATGGCACGTGGAACTAGAACAATCTACCCCGGTGGACTAAATAAAGGGTTCGAAATTCCAACATATATCATCGGAAGAAGTCCGGAGCGTACAACGGTCGAAACGTCGTGCATATGACAATAAAGATGAGAACAACAATCCGAAAAATGTAAATACCTTTTCTCAGAAATATAGACAAAAGAATGACGAAAGATCAAGGCTCTGCCTGGCTCGGCCGAACTCTACATGTATGAGAGTTTCGGATTGGTCACAAACCGTCCAATCACAGCCTGTCTTCTTGTTACCTGAACGGGAGATATGAAGTCCTTCGTTTCTTTTTACCTCCAGGACGTTTCAGACTTCTATAATAAGAAAAAAAAAACCCAAAAAAACAAACCAAAAAAAAAAAAAAACCCAAAAAACAATCAGATTCTGTAGTATTTCTTAATAAAATAAATGTTATGTTTTGTAAATATTTGGACTATACTTATTCCTTTCTCCGACTTATCCATAATGTCCGCAAACATAAATCTTTTTGGAATTCGAAATTGGCTTTCGGATTTCTTATTACGAATACACCCCCCCACGCACGCCTACTTAATGCTGAGCGTCTCGGTATCTTTAATTTCATTGTTTAACGGCATATCAACACTATATGGGTCATTTAATGCCAGTATTTAATTTTTTTGTGAGCTTTAAATTAAGCTTTAAATTAATAAAATATGATAAAAATATGATATATGTTATTCTGCTTTCACAGTTGAATACATGGTAGATGATACTCTGCTTTTGTGCATTTACATGTTTGTCGGGACATGATTACACGGTTTCTTTAACGTTTAGATGAAACTGTAACCATCATTTGTTGTATATCCTCCCTTCCCATTTTATCTCTAAGACTGATTTCATCAATAAAACCATTAATAATCTGAAAACGTTCAAACTCAGAATGACACGTGTCAGTATGAACTTTATTTGGTACCTTTTTTGTATACATCTAATTACTACTTTTTACGATATATATATATATATATATATATATATATATATATATATATATATATATAATTTTCATTATTATTATTATTATTAATAAAAGAATATCAAACATTTAAAATCCCAAAGTAATAATTTTTATTTCATGAGAGGTCTGAAAAAAAAAAAAAATACAGCTGTCAATCTTCAAAAAGGATTTGTTTGTAGGTCGAGAAGATTGAGAGCTGTTTTCAAAATGCAAGTCAGTAAAGGAGATCAAATTTTGTGCTTTCAAGCGAAATTTCTCGAAGGTTTTCATATATGCACAATTTTGTATTCAAACGTTACAAAGAGAATTTTAGAATTTATATATATGCTCCTCACACACACACACTCTCTCTCTCACACACACACACACTCTCGCTTTTTGAGAAAACTTTTCGTTGAGCTCTCGCGGGGGAAAAGTGGGTTGATTATTACTGCTGCTAATTCAAGACTCTTCCATAAAACGAATCGAGTTCTCCCAGTTACAAGCGTTTATGACGGTTCCGTATAGGATACAGGTTCGATTTCTGTCGGGGACGTATATTTTTTATGACAATTTCTCGGACATTCAGGTTTTAATACTGTTTATTTACAAACAGAGCATTTACTTAAATATTTGTATCTATAAAAAGAATGTATAAACATAAAAATGTCTTAAAATAATTGTCGGATTTTGTCCATTTCATAATGTGTGACGTCATTTGTTTACATTTGGATACGCATCGAGCAGATCTGAATGTACGTGAGAAAATCGTCGAAAATTGTAGTTTAAAAACAGTAAAATCGATCTTGCTAACCGAAACACTCCTCTGACGAAATCGGTAAAAGCACGGCAGGCTATATGACGGTTCTGTATAGGTTCGATTCCTGTCGGAGGGCGCATATTTTCTCTGACAATTTCTTGGACATTCAGGTCGGTAAATGTTGTTTTATACTGTTTATTATCAACAGTGCATTTACTTAAATATTTGTATCTATAAAAAAATGTCTTATGTATAAACATAAAAATGTCTTAAAATAATTTGTCGGATTTGTCCATTTCATAATGTGTTGAATATATATATATATAATTTCGGTCTGCAAACAATTATTTCGTCTTCAAGTTTTAACTTTAAAGGAAAAAAATCAATGGATAGCTGTATTTTAATGCATACTATGTTCTACTAGCGAAGTGAGATATATATATATATATGTGTGTGTGTGTGTGTGTAAAATATTTAATGGTTTTTTTTTAATAACAGAATGCCTCATCAGGAGCAAAATAAAATTAAAAATGAAATAAATAAAAAAATACTCAGACTAAAAACTTTATAAAAAACGCAATCATGTTACAGCACCTGGTATTCCCAAGCGGTCAATATATCTTGGGTACTTTACAATGTTTAATTTGGTGGTCATTCGATTTATTTTAGCTTCAATGTGATGTTCTTAAGTGAGAGACTATTATATTTAAAATAAAGCATTTAATTTATCAACTTTGTTTTTTCAAATCAATAGCTTTCTTCGAGTTATTTAATCCTTTCATTAACTTTGTGTCCGAAGTGTCCGTTCAAATGTAAATATATGTCTTCTTAACGCGAATCGAAATCTGCCATTTGCAATGCAAATTATTAACATGTTTCCAGCAGAATCATTAGATTTGTATTCTTAATAAAATCTGCGCTCGGCGAACATCCATTATTTTTTTCCTTCCCTCATGATATTTATTGTGCGAGCACGAAGCGATAAATTGTCTTTTATTCTTACTGCGAGTCATTTAGCAGTATTGAAGAATACTTCGGAAGAGACTGGCTGTTTGACCAGGATGATTCTGTGGCTCCTCATTCCAATGAAGTGGCGGTCTTTCCAGAGTACGACCGCTAATTCTATGGATTCGAAGCTGATAACGAGGAAGGGAGTCAATGTGGCATGGTTCGGAACAAGCAAACCTTTATTATCTCCTGATTGGCGTTTTATGGCGGTCTGCTGATGCGAAGCATTAAGTATCAGAAACTGACGCCACGGAACATGTATTGACAGAAGCATTTCATTAAGGCGAACAATACACAATCGAGCCAATATAACACTGGGGTGAACGTTGCTAATCTAGGATAACAGTGTTACATGTTTCTTCTATGATTTACAGAGAATTTAAAAGAAGCCAAAATCGCCGATTGGGATTGGGATAAGTCGGTAGAGAGTCAACTAGAAATTTTAGATTTTTTAAAATTACCTTTTTTTTTGTAATCTCTGTAATTAAATCTCTAGTCATATATTTCCAGACGACATCAAACATCTTCAAGTTTAGAATTAGCTTCATATCTTTCCGATCATAGATCCAAAAATTTTACTTCTTGCCTTTTTCTTACATGAATAGAACTTTTTTTCAGTAACCCATCTACCTTGAGCCCCATTGGGACTTGGATTGCTGTTATTATTAGTATTAGTTTTTCTCTAAAATTTGTAAACATGAGTTTTGTACAAAGAGGTTCTTCTATGCATATATAAGAATTTTCAGTAAATATTCTAATCATTTAAACAATAAAATTTGTTTTCTTATTTCTTAATATTCTGAATATTTTCTATAAATATTTTGTATATTTCCCTTATTATTTATTCAACATTGGTTTCAAAACTTTATCTTCGGTGACAAGCGTAAAAAAGAGGTATCCTAAAAATGTCTTCCTGCTAAAAAGTCCTGTACGAAATATTCTTTTTCTTTTAGTGATCTCGTTCATCAAAAAAATAATAAAAAAAAAAACAAACTAATTTCTCATGATTCCCTAGTAAAAAGGAAAAAAAGTGAAATTTATAGTCATCCTGTTTTCATCGACCTCTTACGTGGACCTTTTGACCATGTTTGCCGTAGTCTCTGAATATGGAATCAATGAATATTTATGTGTTCAATATCAGAGTTTGGCAGTGAAAATTCAGAGAAAGCTAGCGGCTGTTAAGTAATTTCTTTAAGTCTTCGATATCAAGTTGGCAATGTAGATATTTTGGGAGAAAAAACTTAAATGGCTGCCTTTATAAACCGCATTGAATATTTTGAGCTTTCTGATTGGTTAGCCCTTCTGTTGGTGAACTATAAAATGAGTCAGCTCATTTTGTCTGGCTCACTAGTAAAAGTTCAGACCCAAAAAAAAATTTATAATATTCTGTCTCCAATATAATGAAGACCACAGATAAATTTTA